CGCTTATAAAACACAATCTCCCAAACCTTTTACAAACCGTAAATCACAAACGAAGAAACAAAAACCCACATCAAGTTCGACATAACTTGCAAAGCGATTCACTCACGCAGTTCGTTCTCTCGTAAAAATAAAAAAAACTCAATTCTGCAAGCACAATCGACTTCTGATGATTCGCTGTGACTCATCGAGAAGAGATTTCCAAGGTGAGGGAAGCTGAATGCAATGACGTGTATGTGTCTTCATCACTGTGTCACGTGTCTTACTCTGTATCACTGGTGCTTTATATACGTATTTGTCTTCATCACGTATCTTGCTCTGTGTCATTGGTGTTTTATGTACGTGTGTGTCTTCATCACGTATTTCGCTCTGTCACTGGTCTTTTATTTACTTATGTGTCTTCATCACGTATCTCGCTCTGAATCCATTATTTACGTACGTGTCTTCATCACTATCACGTATCTTGCTCTGTGTCACTGGTCCTTTATATACTTATGCGTCTTCATCACTGTGGCACGTGTCTCGCTCTGTATCACTGGTGCTTTATATACGTATGTCTTCATCATGTATCTCTCTGTCACTGATCCCATATATACGTATGTGTCTTCATAACTATCACGTATCTCGCTCTGAGTCACTGATCTTTTATATACGTATGTGTCGTCATCACGTATCTCGCTCTGTGTCACTGATCCATTATTTACGTATGTGTCTTCATCACTGCATCACGTATCTCTCTCACTGTCACTGATGCATTATATACGTATGTCTTCATCACGTATCTTGCTCTGTGTCACTAATCCATTATAAAGGGGTGATTGCGTGTCAATGAAGATCGTGATTTTGCATTTTTTTGTGATTTTAATTGTTTTTAATTAAATTTCTCAGGTAGTACTGTAACGATAGGAAAATAATAGGTTTTGGTATTGGACTAATTTTTAGATATATTGTTTAAAGAAACAAACGTAGAAACGGAAATAAATATCGAATTAATATTTAAATACTTTTTTTTTGTTTTGCTTTTTATATAAGAAAACAATTATATGATGATAAGGCATTATATATATAGATTATTCGCCAGAAAACATGAACCATATGTGAAAGATCAATCTTATAGTTAGTAATGTAAGAATATTTAAATGTGTCGTAAATAATTAAGAAGATAAACACAGGAAACGAGAGACGAAAGGGGGAGAAAAATCGAAGGGGAGGGGAAGGGAGGAAAGAGGAGGGGAGGAGAGGGGAGAGGATAGAGAGGGGAAGGGTGGGGAAGGGGAGGGGAGGAAAGAGGAGGAGAGGAGAGGGGAGGAGAGGGAAGGGGAGGGAGGAGAGGGAAGGGGAGGGAGGGGAGGAGAGAGGAGGAGAAGGGAAGGAGGGGAGACGGAGGAACGAAGGGGAGGGGAAGGTGAGGAGATAGGGGGGATGGGGGCTGGAAGTGATAGGGAAGATATATTTTGCAATGAGTTTGGAAAGTTTGAGGAAATGTAAAGGGATAAAAATAGGACACAACAAAATCGAGAAGCAGGTGAATGAGAGTGAAAAGGAGGAGACACTTAAGAGGAGAGGATAAAAGAGGAGGAAGAGGAAGAGGAAGAAGGAGAAGAGATGGAGTGAGGGAAATGGAGGAAGAGAAGGAAGAGAAAAAGGAGGCGTGAGAGAAGCGGATAAGGAAGAGGAAGATGAGGCGTGAAGGAGAGGAGGAGGAGGAGGAGGAGGAGGAGGAGGAGGAGGAAGAGGAGGAGGAGGAGGAGAAGAGGAGATAAAGTAGGAAGATTGGGATGAAAAGAAGGATTAGGAAAGAAAAAGAGGAAGAGATAGCGGAGGAGAAAATTGAAAAGGCGAAGGAATTGGTAGACGAGATAAAAATAGAAGAGGTATTGGAGGAAGTAAAAGAGGTGATAGGGAAAGAGGAAGAGAAGGAGGAGAAACAAGGAAGGAGGAAGGGAGGAGTAGGAGTGAAGAAGAGAGATGGAGCAGGAAAGAAGGAGGGAGGGCGTGAGGAAAGGGAAGAAGGGCCGGTGAGAGATAAAATACGAGAGAAATAGAGAGAGAGAAGGATGGAGGGAGAGGAAAGGGAGAGAGAGAGAGAGAGAGAGAGAGAGAGAGAGAGAGAGAGAGAGAGAGAGAGAGAGAGAGAGAGAGAGAGAGAGAGAGAGAGAGAGAGAGAGAGAGAGAGAGAGAGAGAGAGAGAGAGAGAGAGAGAGAGAGAGAGAGAGAGAGAGAGAGAGAGAGAGAGAGAGAGAAAGAGAGAGAGGAGAGAGCGAGCGAGAGAGAGAGAGAGAGAGAGAGAGAGAGAGAGAGAGAGAGAGAGAGAGAGAGAGAGAGAGAGAGAGAGAGGAGAGAGAGAGAGAGAGAGAGAGAGAGAGAGAGAGAGAGAGAGAGAGAGGGAGAGAGAGAGAGAGAGACAAGGTTTAAGAGTAGGAGTGAGGGAGGGAGGGAGGGGGGTAGGGAGAGAGTCACGGCCATCATGTTACCTGTGCGACTCTGTTCAGTCTGGGCCCACACGGCATCGGGGAAGGAAGGCAGGTGCGCGCGCTCTCTCCACGCACAGGGTGTCTCACAGGCAAAGAGATAAACACCAAAAAAAACAACAACAACAAAAACGTCGACTCGAAAACGTTGCTGCGAGTGAACGTTTCCAAGAACTCTGGAGAAAACAGCTGATATAAAGTGATCCCAGATATAAGGGAGAAGTGACTTAATACCCATATCCTTAGATGGACTTTGTTTTTTTTTAAAGGATTCATATACGTCGTTTAGGAGTTTCCGAGAGAGAAATACTCCGTCACAAAAGTTCCCGTTCTTGAAGGAGAACCTGATCTAAAGTGGATCCAGTGAACAGCATTCTTCCTTCGTTGAACACCAGGTATCGTGTTCTTACTAGTGTTCTGTCGAGTTGAAGAGGGTAATACCACGTAAGGGTGACATATCAGGGTGACACACACTCGCCCTAAAGTACCACTGATTTGACGACAACAAGGACAGTAAGTGTTATTATTATTTTTTTTTTATTTACCGTTATTATTATTTTATATTAGTTTTTTTTTCTTTTCATTTTGAAACGTTTGTCTGTTTCAATAAAAAAAAAGGTTGGGCGTTTCTTTGCTGTTTCTTCATCTTATTTACAACATAAATTAATGGATTAATTCCCGATTTTCATGTATCTCTCGTAATGAAGGTGAAAGCACCTATGTAAGAACAACTTTCATTATGATAATGACTGTATCGCATCTTGTGTTATTAATAGTAGTAACAGTAGAAGTAGTAGTAGCAGAATTAGTGATAGTTACTGTAATAATAATAGTACTGCCTATTACTTCAAATGACACTACTTTTACGATTATTTTACAAAAAGAAAATCTACTTCAATTCATGAAAAGGATGATGTTGATAATGATAAGAATTGATGGGATAATAATAACGAAGATTATGATAACTGTAATGTTAATAGTTTTATCAATAAGCATTAACATTATTGCAATCATACCGATAAATGACCACGATATTACTATCAATAATGCAACAACAATTAGTCATTATGTTAACATTGCCAGATAAACAAACAAACAAACGAAAACAGTAATAAAAAACAAAAAAACAAAGACAATAACAACAACAAAAACAGTAAGAACAACAATAAAACTGCTTGTGAAGATTCATCAGCTTCTAACGAGGTCAGCTGATGTCACGGATGTCAGCTTAATATCAGCATGAAGAGATGATGTCAAAGGTTAAAAGGTCACACACACACACACACACATATATATATATATATATTGTAAGGTGTAGTTTTTTTTTCGTTATTATTTTCACCGCAATGTGACCTTGCTTGACATCTGATTTCGGTGTTTTCATTTTTTGCTTTTGTTTTGTTTATTGTCTTACGTTTTCGTTGTTTTCTGTTTGCTTGTTTCGGTTATTTGATGTTGAAGAAAACCATGTTTATGTTTATTCAATCGTGTATTAGTAGGTGTGTATCATAATTAATAATCGGTTTAATTAATTACCTATTTAGCCGTTCATTAAACATTTATTCATAGATTCGAAGAGTAATTACTTGTTTGTTTTCACTTGATTGTCATTATTCATCTGTTTACTTTATCCATTTATCTATGTCTTTTAATTATCAATTTGTTCTTATAATATTCTTTATTATTCGTCTAACTTTCGTGTAGCAAATCATGTGTAAGGGAGATAGAAGGAAAGTGGAAATGCAAAGTAAATCATAGAAAAAAAAAATAGTAATAATCAAACGAAATTAAAATTTAGAATAGTAATGGTAATGACTAGCAACAGAAAAGTCTATCGTGTTGATGCAACGACAGAAAAAGAAACAAAACAAAACATTAAGATAAAATTCAACAGTATTTCGAAACTGTTGTCTCATCTTTCAATATTTTGTGAAGCCTTTTTTTTTTACATTGCACAAGCGTCTTGAAAAAGAGAGGAGTTGCAGATTGCAGGGAAGGCAGTAACTGGGAGAACTATTCTATAATTTAGAAGTGAAAATAAAGGTGTCTGCAGAACGTTTTTGATAAACTCGTTTTTCACAAATCAAAGCGACTGTACTTTTCGTATTTTAAATCAACACCAATTCAACGTAGAACTTATAAAACAATATCTGTTTTATATATACACCATAAACGCATGCTATCAATCACCCCAATGAAACAAATCATTTATTACACGAAACGAGACGAAAACAAATGAAATCACAGTATGTATCTGCAACCTAACATAAAATCCCGGAGGATAATACATCTTATCACTCAATCTCAAAACGATCATAATGCAGCATCTGGACAGCATTTTCGTATTCTTGGGCGAAAAGCTGATGTGCCAAATGACCAGGGAAAGACTATATATAGGAAGATATATCGGATTTTTGGTTTCAATTGAGGGTTGCTGCGTGTCACTTTTTTTAAAGAATTTATCCTGGTTTTAGGAGATAAGTAGGGACTATCTTCTTTGTTTTCGGTGATTTTGTGTGTTTATATATATCTGGCGAAGATATCTTGGGGTCTATTGGTCTGGTTGAATCGTCTGTCTGTGTTTGTATTTAGCATTTCTGGGGGAAATTGATATGTTGCTCTGTCTGTCTATCTGTCTGTCTGCCTCTCTCTCTGTCTGCCTCTCTCTCTGTCTGCCTCTCTCTCTCTCTCTCTCTCTCTCTCTCTCTCTCTCTCTCTCTCTCTCTCTCTCTCTCTCTCTCTCTCTCTCTCTCTCTCTCTCTCTCTCTCTGCCTTTCTCTTTCTGCCTTTCTCTCTCTCTTACTTTCTCTCTCTCTCTCTCTCTCTCTCTCTCTCTCTCTCTCTCTCTCTCTCTCTCTCTCTCTCTATCTATCTATCTATCTATCTATCTATTTTTCTCAATTTCTCTCTCTCTCTCTCTCTCTCTCTCTCTCTCTCTCTCTCTCTCTCTCTCTCTCTCTGCCTTTCTCTTTCTGCCTTTCTCTCTCTCTTACTTTCTCTCTCTCTGTCTCTCTCTGTCTCTCTCTCTCTCTCTCTCTCTCTCTCTCTCTCTCTCTCTCTCTCTCTCTATCTATCTATCTATCTATCTTTCTCAATTTCTCTCTCTCTTTCTCAATCTCACACACACATTGTAAACAAGAGAACGAAAAAAAAAATATCGCTTGTTTTTATCCTGTTTCCTCGTCCATTCGTTGTCTTGTTTGCGGCTTGTTTGGCATAAGTCCTCCCCCCTTCCCCCCCTTTCCCCCCACGCACCTCCCCTCCCCCCCCCCCCCACATGCAGACGACGCATGCGCAAAGCCATGAATACAGAATAACCAGAAGAAAAGAGTATTGCCTTATAAGAAGCGGCTGAGTCTTTGTGTGAGCTGTCGGCTTTCAGGATTCTGTTGGGAAACAGGCGATAAAACAGGGGAGAGAGAGAGAGAAGAAGGGAGAAGAGAAGGGAGAGAAAAGGAGAGGGAGATAGAAAGGGGAAGAGGTGAGAAGAGAAAGGGAGAGGAAAATATAAAGGGGAAGAGAAGGGAGAGAAAAGGAGAGGAAGATAGAAAGGGGATGAGGGGAGAAGAGAAGGAAGAGAAAGGGAGAGGAAGATAGAAAGGCGAAGAGGGAGAGAAAGGGAGAGGAAAATAGAAAGGGGAAGAGAAGGGAGAGAAAAGGAGAGGAAGATAGAAAGGGGAAGAGGGGAGAAGAGAAGGGAGAGAAAGGGAGAGGAAGATAGAAAGGCGAAGAGGGAGAGAAAAGGAGAGGAAGATAGAAAGGGGAAGAGGGGAGAAGAGGAGGGAGAGAAAAGGAGAGGGAGATAGAAAGGGGAAGAGGGGAGAAGAGGAGGGAGAGAAAAGGAGAGGGAGATAGAAAGGGGAAGAGGGGAGAAGAGGAGGGAGAGAAAAGGAGAGGGAGATAGAAAGGGGAAGAGGGGAGAAGAGAAGGGAGATAAAAGGAGAGGGGGGGGTAGAAAGGGGAAGAGGGGAGAAGAGAAGGAAGATAAAAGGAGAGGAAGAAAAGAAGCGAAAGAAAGGGAGAGGAAGAAGAAATAGGGAAAAAGGGGAAGAAGAAGAAGAGGAAAGGAGAAGAGTGACAGAAGAATGGAAGGGATAGAGGGTGAAGATGAAAGGGGGGGGGGGAAGAGGGGGAAGAAGTAATGAAGAAAAAGAAAAGGGAAATAATGAACGAAAAAAGGAGGGGGCAAAGAAGAATAGGGTAGATTATCAAGGAATACGAGGAAAAAGGAGAAATACATAATAATGATAAGATTAAAAATAAGAACAAAATAATAAGAGGAGGAAGAAGAAGAAAAAGAAGAAGAAGAAGAAGAAGAAGACGAAGAAAACGAAGAAGAAGAAGACGAAGAAAACGAAGAAGAAGAAGACGAAGAAAACGAAGAAGAAGAAGAAAACGAAGAAGAAGAAGAAAACGAAGAATAGGAGGTGAAGCAGCAGAAGAAACGAGAGAGAGATATTCTTACGTTAACGACAAAGACATCTAACCTTTTACCTGGCCATACTTGTGTCAACGAATCACTAAGTTTCTCTTCTGTCTCTCTCTCCTTTCCTTCGCTATTTCGTGGATGTTTATGTGTGTTTGTGTGACACTACACGTTTTTCGCTTTCGCTGTGTGTGTTTGTGTGAATTGTGAAACGAAATGAAAGATATCTAATGAAGAAAGAAAGAAAGAAATGTATATAAGTAGAGAGAGAGAGAGAGAGAGAGAGAGAGAGAGAGAGAGAGAGAGAGAGAGAGAGAGAGAGAGAGAGAGAGAAAAGAAAAAGAGATAGAGATAGACAGACAGACAGATGAATGAATAAACTGATAAAGGAACAGACAAAGACAGATAGGTGGGGAGATAGATACACAGATACACTCGTAGATCGACAGTTCTGTGTAGATAAGAGCATATATGGTGCATTCATTTATCTCTCGCTTTCATCATCTGTGGCGTTGCTCGTTCTCTCTCGCTGTCAATCAATTGCTTAACCACCGGAAGGAGCAGGAGCAAGATAGATGGGTGGGAGGAGGGAGGCGGAAGCGAGTCAATCATCATAGTTTATAATAGATAGTTGAGATTTATTCTTCTGTTCTCTCTCTGCTTCTCTTTCTTTGTGGCTGTCTTTGTCTCTGTTTCTGTTTCTCACTGCCCCTCTCTGGCTGTCTGTCTGTCTGTCTCTCTCTCTGTCTCTCTCTCTCTCTGTCTCATTCTCTCTCTCTCTCTTCTCTCTCTCTCTCTCTCTCTCTCTCTCTCTCTCTCTCTCTCTCTCTCTCTCTCTCTCTCTCTCTCTCTCTCTCTCTCTCTCTCTCTCTCTCTTTCTCTCTCTCCCTCTTCCTCTCCCTCCCTCCCTCCCTCTCTCTCTCTACTTCCCTCCCTCCCCCCTTCCTTCCTCTCTCTCTCTCTCTCTGTATATATATATATATATATATATATATATATATATATATATATATATATGTACATACATACATACACACACACTACACACACACACACACACACACACACACACACACACACACACACA